TGTGGGCACTATGTATTGAGATTTAGATGTTGGTTGGAGGTAGTCAGTAGGAAACACTGGACCCGGGTTTCGTGCTACTTGGCACTCATCAGCAAGGTGTACCTGCACTAATAAGGACTTGACAAGCATGACATTGATCACCACCCAGTGATCAATCAATTGTGAATAAACATGTGCGGGATCGTGGATGCGCACTGCTGAGGAGTCCCATACTAGGACGAAACGGCCGTCCAGTACTCCCAGGTTTTCCATGGTGGTCTAGCTTCAACTGACTCATGATTTCAACCTGTGAAATAAACATGTTCTTAAAACAAGAATCTCTAATATCAAGCAAGTGATCTTGATTGTTCAAGTTCAGATATGTTCAGAGTGAAACAAACATTAATAGAAATATCACAAGGGTTTTGTGGATATTATAGTGGTTTCAATCGTTGAAATCATGAGTCAATTGAAGCTAGATTACCATGGAAAGCCTTTCACTAGAACTCCAGGAAATACTTCTTGAAGTCAGTCACTATTGAGCTTATGTTGAATAATATCGGCAGGGGCTTTGTGGATATTATAATAATTCTAATAGTTGAGATCATGAGTCCAGTGCTTCTAGGTTTTCCATGATGGTCTAGCTTCAATTGACTCATGATCACAATTATTAAGATAGAAAAATAATTAAACATTGAATTCCATTTTAATGAACAAAAAGTGAGGTATGGAAATCCAATCTCTTTGTACAATATGAAAACCATGCATTAAATACATTATTTCCACGTCTTTTTTCAGTTTTCTTTTACATGCTTCATGGTTATTTTGAATCTGTTGTTATTTCAATTGTTCCCTGTTTCCTTTCTTATTCTCTTTGATTCAATCTTCTTCTGGCAACCATTCCACTTCCGATTTTTCCTTCATACTACTTATGTCTGTTAACATAAGTATCATGCACCACACTATGACTGTATAAAGTTATAGAATGAGTCATAATCAAAGAAATGTACTGAAAGCGTATACATAAACAAGGAATATTTATACATATCAACCGGAGATTATTGATCTTAAATACATCAATAACTAATATCATTTGGATATTTGTGTATTAATCCATCAATGAATGATGGCCGACATCATGTTAGTCTAGACCATTGCTTTTGATCACATTCTATGGATCAAGTTACAATGTATTCACTGGTTTAAGTGACTACACATCACTTGCTCTTTGTTGAAACTTTGGAGGTATTCAATATTCAGTATGATGTATCTAATCTGTAGGATTGAAACCAATGTCACTTAGTTTCACGGTCTGGAATGTTACAAATGAGCTATTAAGGTTGCAACTGACCTGTATTATTGAATTACTTCTGCTAGATGGATCACTAAGTAGTAGTTCTGTTTAGTACTGACCGCATTGCAGCGATCAAGATATAATGTTGCCTCTGATTTAAGTGACTCGATAATACATGAATACATGAATGTAAGGCGAGACTATAATTTATGGATGAACCAAGCATGTATAAGTTAACAGGTCTCGGATTTTGGTGCCAAATTCACTCATCCACTGGGCAAAATAGAGTTTTGGCATTATAACTGATGTCAGTTCGTGATGAAACCATGAAATCTAATTTCTAACCCTAATCATCAATTGTAAATCATAATTCTAATTCCTCACATACTGGTTTATGACCCTCATTTGGTCCTGGTTATTAAGTAAACACTCACAAGATCAGTTTAGTGTCGCTCAAAGATCACCCATAAATTATGGTCTCATCGAATATAAATTTATTACATCAAAAAGCTTTTTCCCGTTGACATTGGTTCTGTCTTTTCAAATCAGTTCATTTGAGGCTTACATCAATAAATCGATATTTTGAACGGTTATCACTGAACTAAATCTTATCATTACATATAACACTTATGCTTGAGATCATGAACCGATTGATGTTAGATCACCATTGAAAACCTGGAAGCACTGGACGACCGTTTCGTCCTATTGTGCGACTCCTCAGCGGTGCGCATCCAGTAGATTAAGGGTTCTTGCGCGAGACTGATAGATCTTAGATTCGAGTCCCGCGTGGTAGGATCATGAATGCACACAGCTGAGTAGTCTCATACTAGGATGAAACGGCAGTTTAATGCTTACAGTTTTTCCATAGTAGTCCAGCTTTAATTCACTCATGATCTCAACCATTAAAATATTTCATTCTGTTGAATATTTATTCTTAACTATTAGATTATTCAAAGTAAAAAGAGTTAAGAAGCCTAGCAACTATACAACTAAATAACTTTTTTCTATCCCCCTTCCCCCCTCCCTTCTCCTCTCTCCCCTTTCCGAAATAAAATATTCGGCAACATTTCGAATAGATTATATCGATTGAAAAAAACATGAAATTGTATCACATTAATCAGTTATCTACTATTAAAGTGTTTGTTTTTTTATAATTTAACACTATTTAATTGTAATCTATAATGTAAAAGAAGAGAGAAAAAGAACACACACACACACAATCATCATTATTGTATAGATGAGAGTTTGTTTGAAGTTTTCATGATAATAGGAATGATTAAATCTATGAATGAAAATGAATGAGAACTAAATGGGTAAATAAGATTTAAAGAATCCTTTTAACAATAATTTGAAGTTATCTATTATGATTGCTATGATAATGAAGTACATTTGTGACATTAAACATAGATTTGTTTGAAACGATAGGTGGATAGATAGATAGATAGATACTTGTTTACTTCATTATATACGCTTGCTACTCCTAATAGAGCATAGGCCACCGACCAGCATTCTCTAATACACACTAACTTGGGTCTTCTTTTCTAGTTCTATCCAATTGTTGTTTATTCTGCTCATATCTGTTTCCATTTCTTGACGTAATGTATTCTTTGATCTTCTTCCTCTCTTTTGGACTTCAGTATTTCATGTGATGAGGGCTTGTCTTGTGACGTAATTGGGTGCTTTCCTCAATGTTTGTTCTATCCACTTTCAGTGTTTCTTCCTGATTTATTCCTCCACTGGAATCTGATTTGTTCTTTCCCACAGTGGGTTGTTACTGATAGTGTCTGGCCAACGGATTCGAAGTATTTTGCGTAGACAATTGTTAATAAACACTTGTTTCTTCTTCTTCTTCGTAGTTGTGCAAGTTTTCACCTTATACAGTAGAACTGACTTGATATTTGTATTGAAAATTCAGACTTTGGTGTTGGTTAACAGACAGTTATTTTTCTTGCTGATCCGCCCCTTTACATCTGTATTAGACCCACTGTGTTCGTCAATCATAGTGCCCAGAGATTTGAAAGATTTTATATCTCCTAAATCTTCTCCGTCAAGTGTGATTTGATTGGTGTATGTTGTGTTGTATCGGAGAATCTTGCTTTTCTCTTTGTGTATATTGAGGCTGCTGCTACACACGTGTGCAATACAAGAAACAGATCATCTGCGAAGTCTAGATCGTCCAGTTTCATCCTAGCTGTCCACTGTATCCCATGCTTCCCCCCAGATGTTGACGTTTTCATAATCCAGTCGATCACCAGGAGAAAGAGAAAGAGTGAGAGTAAGCAACCTTACCCGGCACTGGTACTTACTTAGAACGAGTCTGTCAACTGTCTTCCATGCACGATTTAGCAGTTTAATCCATCATAGGAATTCTGTATGATGTTGACTATCTTCTAACGCACGCCGTAGTGTCAATGAAGTCGATGTAGAGTGATGAATTCCATTCAACTGATTGTTCCACATTGATCCGTAGTGTTACAATTTGGTCTTACACGATCGGTCAATACGGAATCCAGCCTGTTGATTTTGAAGCTGACCATCTATGAAGTCCTTCATTCTATTTAACAACATCTTGTTGAAGACTTTCCTGGTATTGCGAGACAAGTGATGCTTCTGTAGTTATCACACATGCTGAAATCACCCTTCTTGATGATGTGGTAGATAGATATGTGGATGGATAAAGTGAAAGTTAATCTAAATATTTTAGATTTGTCTAAACCTGATAATTATGATTACTAACTGGATGTACTCACACACTATGATAAAAGGTTTACAAATTAATGTGATGATCAATCTTTAAAAACTCAAAGAGTAACTATCTTGTAGTTCTTGTAATAGTTACCTTTTTATTTATCTTCTGGGGAAAAATGAGAGACAAATATCTTGGAATGCAACCATTATATATACAAACAACCAAAAAATAGATGTAACAGCTGAATGGATCGAGAACTTCAATGGTCAAATACAGGAAGCAGATACTCATTGTTAAATATAAACTTTGAACAATGAAAATATAAGTGCATGTTAAAAAGATATTTTATCAGAAAGTGGTTTGTGAAGATTGTAATAATTTATTAGTTGAATTTATGAATCGATTAAAGCTGAACCATCATTCAAAACGTGGAACCACTGGACCGTCATTCGTTCTAGTATGTGACTTCTCAGCAATATCTACGATCCCGCACCAGAGGGACTCGAACCCAGGACCTTCGGTCTCGCAAACGGACGCCTGTCTTCTAAACTACTGAGTTGGTATCCTATGGTGTCAATGGTGTCAACCAATCTACGATATCACCATTGCCTTCAGTGAGTAACTGCTTCACAACAGACCCGGTTAAACTCCACTGGTCACGGTTTCTCACTAGAACTCTAGGAAACTCATTTTGAAGTCAGTCATTAGTGAGCACATGAACACAATGATGGACGATAACGCAATATTGTGTATTGGTTAAAATTAGACAGTAACACCATTGGACGTTAACTCAGTGATTCAAGAGTTTAAGAGTTCATTCTCAAGAAAAAACATAGTTCCGGGTTCGAATCCCGTATACAAGATCGTCGTTACACACTTCTGAACAATCTCATACTAGAACAAAACAACCATCTATTACTTCCAAGTTTTCAATGATGATCTAGTTGTGATTGACTTATATATTTAACTGTTCAAATCAATGTCAACTTTATCTCTATTTCACTTGATTTCATTTCATGTTATGCTTTTATTTTACAGAATCATACAAACATTAGAATAACTACAACATAAATAGAAGATCGAATATATAACGTGAGAGGGGTGTGTATGTGTGTGTGATCGATTGTGGATAATTGGGGACAGATGAATTAAATACAACAGAACATTAGGATAATCTATCCTGGTAACAATTATCCTCATCATCATCATAAATATACTACTTATAATAATAAAATGCAAAAATCAATTCGTGCAAATGAGCATCAATTATATTATTTAGTGAATAAAGCTCGTGAAAATGGTTTAGCTAAATTATCTGGTAATTTATGGAAAAGAAGTTTAGATACTGGTAAATGGCAATTACGGTAAGTAGAATGTAGCATTAACAAAGTATAAATAATTAAATCTTTTTTTAAAATATTTGATAGAATAAAACATTTTGAAGTTGGTTGAGTTTTGATTAAGATCATGAATCGATTAATGTTAGATCATCATTGAAAACCTGAAAAGATTGAACGATCGTTTCGTTCTACTATGAGAATGATGAGTAGTACGTGTCCAGGATCCCATACCAAAGTGAGTTGGAGTTAGGACCTTTGGTCTCATGCACGAACTCTTAATCTCTAGACCATTGAGCCGGTGGCATCTAATGGTGTTAATGTCTAACATCAATCGATCCAAGATCTTGATTGATTATTGAGTAGTAAAGAATGACTAGTGTCATTTGTTATCTTGTGCTGTTGTCTGTAGCTCATTGAATTCTACCGATCAAATTGTGAAATGACCACTAGTGTAAGTTGTTATGTCCTATGAACCTGCTAATATATTACGTGAATATGACCTTGGCATTGTGTCAAACCAAGGACACATAAACCAGTACGAGCAGCCTAGATTTAACTCTGAATTCTTAGTGGTTCACCTAGATAGCAGCTTCTCGCTTAACCCAGCTGGTTCAATTCAGAACATCAATATCAGTCTTCGCCGTATTTCAGGCACACACAGTTTATATACAAACATATTGTGGTGCGTGTTACTTATATTGAAATAAGTAGTATATAAGGCGAGTCAGGAATGTAATCTCTGACAGCAGAAGATTGGGAAGATCAAGAAATGAAGAACGGGAATAGAAAGCAGTTAGTATAGAAACGCGAGAACAATGAATTCCGAGACAATTATTGAACATTTTGCAAATTAGGTTTTATAGTATGGTTTATTCTGTTTCACCAAGCAACTCTGTAATATTGTACTCAAAGTAATTCGGTTGTCCTCAGCTGTGTTCTCCCTCACTACAATATTATACCACATCATACATTAAAACAGAAAGTAAAAATTAAATAAGATCAAGCCAAAAAGTGGCTGAGTATGAGATACTGTAACTAATAAATTGAGGATAACTTTAGTATAGTAAATCGTATAGTAGTAGTCAATAGACCAAATGGGAGTTTGTAATAAAAGGAATATGAATATACATAATCTAGTTACTCAATAGTCATACGCTAAGAATATATGTGTATAATAACAGTCCATAGCATTGATAGCATTTTATCTGTATCAAAGAGGACTTGACACACATGACATTGATCACCACCCAGTGATCAATCAATTGTGATTACATCTCAGTCCTACAGGAGGTCGATCGAGGCTTGGATAGTCCAGTGGTAACGTCTCTGAATGGGATCGAATCCATCAGGGAGCACCAGTTCCCTCAAGATTACAGGTACACCTTGCTGACGAGTGCCAAGTAGTACGAAACCTGGGTCCAGGGTTTCCTGTCGACTACCTCCAACCACCATCTAATCCATAAATAGATCCTAGCAGTCACCATTCACTTGTTCTGTGTTTGGATATGACATAAGTAACTGGACATTGTATATCTTATGTTAAGATGTTGATTGGTTTGAGGTTGTAGATGTAAAATCCTGAACTTAGGTTTTAGATCGCTTATACATACCAGATGTTAAAAATGTTATTTAGTTTATGTTCTATTACACATCATTTCTCTATGTAATCAACATTAACTTACGTAATCACTTTATCAAAATGATAAGTGTAGTTATATTGGATTCTACACCAGAGCTATTCGAACAGCTAAGTGAACTTGAGTGATACAAGTTCGTATACATCAGAAAGTATGATTTTCCGAAAGAAAACAAGTTCAACTTGCCGACCAGTATTGCATTGGACGAAATCTAGGTCCAGGGTTTTTTGTCAGCTATTTCCAACCGCTTAATAAATAGCTGAAAAATCTATTTACACCGCTGAAATATCTGGGTTTTTTTCTCTAATGACCCAATGAATTCATTTCGTTATTAAAAATAGTTTATTTTATATTATAAAACTGTATTTTTTTCTTTGGATCTCGTGGGGCGGGATCGTGGACCTGACCTGGTATCTGCTGGTTGCCTGTAGAATACACTTCTACGTCTTACCAAAACTTCTTGATCGAGTTAGCTGAGTCGGGGACAGCGGACCAGGATAGCCTATCGAATCTCTGAATCCTTGATTCTTCGTTCCATTCAGAATAAGCCAAATCAGTAATAGCATTCAAGCTTAACGAACCTAACATATCTAACCTCAATCAATTCACGAACTTAAGCGACATATCCACCATAAACCCTCTTCTGATACTAATCAACATATCCTCAATAGTGACTGCTTTCAAGAGATATATCCTAGAGTTCTAGTAAGAAGCCATGACCAACAGAGTTCAACCAGGTCTGTTGTGAGATAGTAACTCACTGAAGACAATCATAGATGTGTTTGCACAGTTTCATCGATTAGTTGAAGTTAGACATAAACATTGTTTCTTTTGACATATTGAAAGAAAAAAAGTTTTCTTTGTTTTCTCCAATTTTCATCTTTTCATTCTTTCTTTTTATCTTGATAGTTACTTTATATTATATCAGAATTTATTGTTTTATTTCGATGGTGAACGTGCAGAAAGACCATCTGGTGTTATATTTTTAGAAAGTTCTTATTGTGAACCAAATGTAAATTTAAAATCTGGACGAGATGATAAAACTGGTGGACAACAAGGAGTAAGTGAATGATGTAAAAAATAATTTATTTATTGATTATTTATTTGAGTACATAAATATTGGTACAAGGGGGAACCAAACACATATTCGCCACACAGATCTCATTTGATTTGTGTGTGGGCTGTGATACTGCCCGGGTGCCCAGACCAAAGCAGGTGGCTTTCTCAGGGTGTCACACCCCGAGCCTTTGACCTAAAGGTCTGATCCACAAGGCAGTGGAGCATCGTGAGGAGATGCAGTCCCATGGAAGCCGATGACCAACGATTGATTCGTACGCCATTTGTTCCTTCAGGATACTGGTGACCATGTACACCATTGGTTTGGGATCTGGTTAAAGCGCCGGACATTCGCTTTTCGTCCCCTCAATTTCGTAAACAACACCTGTGGTACGAGAAGGCAGTGAGTAGGACTTCCCTGGCAGAGGCTGTATATAAGTGGCCGTGTGAGAGCATTTCGAGAGGGAGGGTTGGCCTACCCCACTCTCGGCCATACCAGGGCATTTGAGGGCGTAAAATAGTTTATTATGTTACCAAAGAATAACTGTCATTGTTGTTATCTTCAAAAGCCTTTTAATTCCTAATGAGCTAGCATTACTAACGTCTGTGACCCCTTATAGAGGAGTATAGGCTGTTTACCATTATTCTCCATCTAACTATGTCATGGGCACTCTTTTCCAGTTCATTTCAGTTGCTATTGATCTTTTTCATGTCTGTTTTTAATTTTTGGAGCAGTGTGTTCTTTGGCCTCGTTTTGGGATTCTAAGCTAACATATTTGAGATTTATTGATTTACGAAAAATGTTTAAAATTCTCCGTTGTTGATGATAAGGATTGCAATTAACTAGTTTGGTTTGGCATACATGGATCGTGCGCGAATTGCCTCGATATCATCATTAAGTCACAAGCATTTTAAGAAAAGTTGAATAGTGTGCTTGGAGTGGGGTGTATCAAGTAGGTTTCATAGTATTTGAAACTCATTATTTGGATGTACCAGTACCTTAGTGTTGGTGACCACACCTAGACTCGAACCCAGTACATTTGTTTAACAAAGGGAAAGTTAAAACAACCTTTATAAATGAACTGAAATTTCCATCCGTTACATTAGTCAGTGACTATCTGCACTCAACACTTTAGTAAATAATATGTTGAGAGTTTAAATCGAAATTTGTCAGGGTCAAGTCGAAATATGAACATCAATACAAATTCAAGTATGTCCCAATAATGAGTTCTGGCTTTCTCTACAAACCATCATCCAACTCTGTTTAAAATATTTGAGGTTAGTTCATTTCTTATCATGAAATGAAATAAGCTGGAAGAAAATTGATTGAAATCAATGGGCTTCTCATAAGTTAACATCTATCCATTATCCTATGTTGGACTGAAATCTTGAGTTTCAGGTTCCACATTGAGTACAATACCATTTAGCTCAGAATTTGATGATTCCCTTTTTCAATTCGATTCTTTTAAGAATATGCTATTATGAGATAGAATTAACATAGTAGACTTATGTTAAGCAGTGACAACCATTGAGATGAATTCATGATATTTTAGTAAAAACCTGTAACAGTGTTGAGGACGTTAGATCTCCAGAACTCACTTGGGAAAAGATCCTAATTTTGTAAGTTTATTTTGAAAATTTGAATTTCTTTGTTTTCGCGCCAAAAGCGCTCTTTTCACCTTCATGTCGTATTTCTCACTTGGGAGAATCTTAGACGCTATTGATCAGTTGGGTCTTTTAATATGCAATTTTGTAACGCTTCCCAAGGACAGTTTTGTGCTGTATATATATATACTTTTCGATTTGTGTCTGTTGTTATCGCTCGTGCTTCTGGTTTTTTGCGAAATATACTTCCTCGTTCGGGATTCGACTTCTCCCTCTAGTTATCGGGGCTAAGACGCAGCAGAATAGCTAGTTTATTTGTCTTTGGTCACAAGCCTTTGTTCGGTTCGCAGACTAAATGAACTTGTAATTGCTTCAAACCTAGCAAATGGATGGTGTTTAGTTAATTTACAGGATCAAATGTATTTCATTGATAACTAGGTCGGATAAACTTAGCCGAGTTTATAAAAATTGATCAAGGTTAGCAATGTAGACCATTTGAATGCTGAAATAGTTGTCTAATGGATTTATATTCAGTAGAAGACCTAAATAGCATGGATTTATCCAATATAAGAAAAAATCGTAGGTTAGCAATACTATACGATCATAATCTAGAACTAAACGTCTAGTTTCCAAAAGATTCTTTAACTTCGTATAGTATCAAAAACACAATGGAAAGCTACTAGAAGATATTGAATTCAATACTTTATGAATGAAGCTTTGATTCATCAAAGATTATTCACAACTTTTTTCAATGTTTAGCTAATATTTCTTTTCATTTGATGATTGAATGGTGTATAATAAAGTTAGAGCTACACGGTGGTGTTCATAGTAGATAGTTTAAGATCAAATCAGGTGTTTGAAATGAACTTTCTAATAAAAATTACCCCCTTATATACAATACTCACTAAGTGAATAAGTAAATGTCATGGGCTATTGGATACAATACCCTTATTGAATACTGAAAACGTTGAGTATAACTTCAACATATCATCACTATTAAAGGTATAAAAGGCAAATATTAGAGTAGAAAAAAAAGCACATTTAAGAACACAGATTGAATGAAAAAAGAAATTCTTTAATTTAAGGGTAATTATTATAAAACCTAGAAGTAGATCTGCATTTGAAGAACATACTTTCCAACTGACAACTTGACATTATGGATTGATCAATGTTAGATCACTATTGAAAATCTCGAAACATTGGACGATCATTTCCCTCTAATATGGTGGTGGTCTAACATTACTCGATTTATGATCATGATCTATAATTAAAGTTCAACAATCTCCACAATCTCATACTGAATTTGTAAGATTGAAGCTTTTCTTCTAATTATATGCACTAATCAATCAGCATTTCCAAACATTTTTATGTCAAATAAGTAAAGAAACTCCAGTGGTTGAGATCATGAGTCAATTGAAGCTAGCTAGCTTTCGCGTGCGAAACTGATAGGTCCTTAGTTCAAATCTCATGAATTGGGATCTTGAATAACAACTGCTAAGGAGTTCTACAATAGAATGAAACAATCTTTCAGTGCTTCTAGATTTTCCCTAGTAGTCTAGTTTCAATTGATTCATGATCGCAACTATAATTTCCACAGGAAACCCTTTCTGATACGAATAAAGATACCTCTAAAATCTATTATATATATCTCATCTTAAGTCAACCAAGTATGTATGTATGTATGTATGTATGTATTGTTGTATGTTCATTTATGATTGTCGCCATGTATGTAGAATATTTTAAACGCTTGATCAATTTTCAAGGTATATTTAACGCTACACTGAAATTACTAGTTCACTTATTATTATTATTATTATTATTATTATTATTATTATTATTATTATTATTATTATTATTATTATTATTACGAATAATGATAACATAGGCTTGATGAGATGAAATTTGAAGAGTTTACTCTTGCATAACATTCAAACTATTATTATTACTATTATTATGATGATTACAAATGACAAATGTAATGGTTATGTAATTATGTTTCCTTTCCCTAATAATAATTAAACAAATAGTAACCGTATCCTTATGATATACACATGTAATGAGACATAATATTTATATGAGGGTATTCATTTTAAACACAAAGACACATACATACATACATACATTCTTCATGTCCCTTTTCTTTTTTCTCTTTCCAAATTTATTTCACTGGATTATACTCCTTGAATAACATCTTGACGCTCTAATTTTTTTCTGATTACAGCTTAGAATTTTACTACATCTAGCACTACGGGATTTGAATCGATCACTGCATCTCTGTGCTAATGTGGTGTGACAACTCGAACTGATGTACGTACGTACGAAGTTCTACGTTGTTACTGACTGACTGACTGACTGACATACATACAGATATATACAGATAGATCATATATATACATGTAGATATAGTGATAGCATGGAGATATTACTGCTAACAAGAATTATTCTTCTACTTTTTATTATCCCTCCAATAAATTCTAATTTCTGGCGGTTGTATGAATTTTTCCACACACGCACACATTCACAAACATACACATACACAATACTGTTTAGTAGGTAGACGGTGAATGCCCATTGATTTCATCATAACAATAGTCTCTATGATATCAACTGAGAAATAATTCTTTTTAAAACATGTTCATGAAACAAATGAGATGTTATAATAAACCAAACCTTTTTTAAAAAGAATATCTTTGTCAAGTATCCATTTTGAAGGAGATGCATGATGTTAACTTAGAAAGTAGATGTTGATTATGGGAAAGGAATACAATATACATATGAGATAAAAAAAAAAGCTCATATAAAGACTTTAACATAGATAAGATAAAAGACCCCCCCCCTCCTAGTTACTATCAGTTTTCATTACTTACTTATAATCTCTTGTTTATTATTTTCGTTAAGAAATTGAACTCGTATGAATATAAAAGGAATTTGTAATTCTTTTATACTAACGAATGAAATGACTTTATTTGTTTGAATTAATGAATCAATTAGAGCTAGACCACCAAAGGAAATCAATCAGCACAGGAAAGCCATTTCGTCCTAGTATAAGACTAATAAAAAGTGAGCATTTCAAGATCTCGCACGTGCGACTTGAACAAAGGACCGTGTACACTTAACCACTAGACTACTAAGCTGGCATCCAACGGTGTTAATGTATGCTCATTTTGCTTCGTTGAAAGATTATCATACTTTGGATCTAATATGTGAGGGATCCAAGTTACCCAATACTTTCAAGGATTATCATAAGTTGTTTGACCTTTTATCTTCAATTCTGAAGACTGACTGAATATATATGACATAATGAAGAATGTTTGTAGGTCAGCAGATATTTTATCTCCTTTGATTTGAATGGTCTAATTATATGGTTAACATTGTCAAAATGAATTTAGCTTTAGTCATAACCGGCTAACAGCTTGTTCTTTTGAAATGGATTACAATCGGTTGTTGTTCATAGATGAGTTAATGTTGTTTGAACGTTTTTATTGGTTTATATCTCCTTTAACTTGTTCTCTAATTTCACAATTGTTTACCATTTTCCTGATTGTCTAACGGATAACTCAATATTTTGCATTAGGCTATGCCACATGTACACACATACATCCGACAACAATAATCTCCAGTCGCTTACTCAAACTACTGTAAAGTCTAATTACAAGAAAAGTTAATTTGTATGGATTTATTCATCGGTTCTTTAATTACTTACTTACTTACGCCTGTCATTCCCAATGGAGCATAGGCAACAGACCAGCATTCTCCAACCCACTCTGTCATGGGCCTTTTTTTCAACTTATATCCAATTCTTGTTCATTCTTCTCATGTCTGTCTCCAGTTCTTGGCGTAATGTGTTCTTCGGTCTTCTTCTTCTCTTTTGGCCTTGAGGATTCCACGTGAGAGCTTGTCTTGTGACACAGTTGGTTGCTTTCCTCAACGTGTCTTCTATCCACTCCCAGCACTTCTTCCTGATTTTTTCCTCCAATGGAATCTGGTTTGTTCCCTTTCACAATAGGTTACTGCTAATAGTATCTGGCCGACATATCCGAAGTATTTTACCTAGACAACTGTTAATAAACACTTATATCTTCTGGATGATGGCTTTCGTAGTTCTCCAGGTTTTCGCCCCATACAGTAGAACTGTCTTGACATTTGTATTGAAAATCCTGACCTTGGTGTTGGTTGAAAGTTGTTTTGAGTTTCAAATGTTCTTCAATTGTAAATATGCTGCTCTTGCTTTGCATCTGCATCCTATCCATCGTGTTCATCAATGATGCTGCCCAGATATGTAAATGTTTTTAAATCTTTTAAATCTTCTCCGTCAAGTGCGATTCGACTGCTGCATATTGTGTTGTATGAGAGAATCTTGCTTTCCCCTTTGTTGAGACCTACTGCTGCTGAGGCTCCTGCTAGGTTCCTTAATGATCAATAAGTACACAATATTTAGAACTTACAACCACTTTTGAGTTAATTTAGTGAGTTTTACATATCACAATGAAGTTTTTACCAATGAGTTCATTTTAAACTTCTGGTATCATCCTGTACTGTTTACTATGAACATGTTACTGTAGTCTAGCCTAAAATTCTCAGATGAAAAATACAAGTATAATGAATGGTGAAATGAAATCTGTTAAAATTTTATTATAGTATGCAGCAATTAAGTGGAAAACGCTTGAAAATTCTGAATACTGAACACGAACTTGAACTCAATACTTTTCATTTCACATGCTAAAGCTTTAACTACCTAGCTACTTAATCCAGATATCGACTGGTTTGTGCCCAGTAATTAGTGAGTTGAGTGTATGAAGTGAAAAGTACCGGGTATGAAACTATGTATTCACACCGACACTGAGATGCAGGTTCATCTCTCGCTGCTGAAGGTCATTTAGAACAAAACACTTCTGGATTCTACTATCAACCACTATCCAACCGTACACAAAAAATAATAATTTTTCTCAAAATAATTAATTTTACTATCAGTCAAAGTACAGAGAGTTAGCTCTACCTCTCGAAATGCTCTCACATATCCATGCGTATATATCCACTATCAGGGAAGTCCTACCCACTACCTTCTCGCGGCATTACTGTTGTTTACGAAATTAATAGGACGAAAAGCAAATGTCCGACGCTCTAACTGGGTTAATGAATATGGAGGATCCACCGAGAGGAGTTGGAAAACTCTGATTCCAAGCCAATGATGTACATGGGTTCCATGATCCTAAGGAGACAAATGACGTACGAACCTGTTGATCACCGGTTATCATGGGACTGCATCTCCTTACATTGTTGCACTGTCTTGTGGATTAGACCTTTGTGGTAAAGGCTCGATCTGTGGCCCCCCAAGAAAATCCACTACTTCAGTTTGGACACCCAGATAGTATCACAGTCTACACAAAATTCAAGTGATTTGTGTAGTGCATAGGTATTCGATGCCTCTTTGTAGCAATTTTTATGTGTTTAAATCAATAAATCAATAAATCGATCATAAAAATAATAAGATATTGGAAGAATAAACTCAAGTATTCATAGAAACATAAACAATCCTTTTTTTCTTTCTCAATTATGAAAGAAGAAGAATAGTTTAAATTCGTTTTTATATAACTTAAAGTTTTGTTGCTCATTAAAGTGATTTACAAACTTTCGATCTAAATCCGACTATTGATCTTTTCTCTGATCTGAAAACAAAACTGATATATTATCACAATATAAACCATTTCACAGTTATATAATATACCATTGTGGGTTTTCAGGAGAACCAGACACCATCCAGACAACTCAAACAGTACAGATCAACCCCGTTTAACAGGAAAGCCAAACACCGCCCAGGCTTAAATTTTATAAACCGAGCAGTACAGTTTAATCCCGTTCCACAGGAGAATCAGACACCGTGTAGGCTTCAATGCTACAATCTGAATAGTACAGATCAATCCGGTAGCGCAACCACGCAGGTACCAAGCAATCTGGTGAACCATTTACATCATTCATATACGCATTCACATCACATGTATAGTTATTCTGACCAATGATCGCATGAATCAATTATGCAGAGCACAAACAGGTCAAATTTGACCTAATCAAACTCATTAATGTTAGCAATGGTGACACGCCTTACAATAAATAAAAATAATATATTTGTAATATCCCAATGAGTAGAAAATTGGGATATTACAAATATATTATTTTTATTTATAACAATCAACCCAATGCTCAATTTATTCGAAATTATCAAATCAAACCTTGGTAATGACACCTACGCCCTACAATGTCCAAATGACAATCGCCCTTGAAAACAATGAAAAGCAATCACCAGTATGAATGAAATCGGTTAACCAGCAAACCAATTTTTGTACATGAACAGTCAGCAAAACTTGCCAAAGTAATGCCGAACCATAGCCATATAGCTTATACTGTATACAACACATGTAGGGTAGTAGAAGCCTGAATCGTTAGGGCTTAAATAACATTTAAAATCCATTGTCTGGTGTCGGAATACTGTTACTAGACCATCAAGATCATTTTTATCGCATTTGCGAAATTTTCATTTTTCCGACTTTTCAGACCCTAAATTAGGAGTAGTATTGTAGTGAACAGAACACGGGTGGGCACAATCGAATGTATTTAATACAAAATTATAGGATTTGTTAATAAAATCTAACAATCATAAAGTAATTACGTAATTTGTAAAATGTCCATCAATTGTCTCATAATGACTCAGACTTCATCGTTCTTGTATTTCCATACAAATTGCATTCTGTTTCCATTCTTTACTATGCAATCCTCTTGTCTCTCTGCTGCCAGATCTTCTGTTCACGATCAAAATCATCTACTACTACTAAGTAGCACACACCACAATATCCATAATATAAACCATTAGAAGGTAATATTTAAACAATCAAAACATTCACTTGATATTGTTTTTACTTGAATCTTCCCATTAATGTTTTAGGACTGAAATTGAACAGTCTCTTATTGGCATATGTGCATACTGTGCGTATGCCTCGATATTGCTTTAGTGAACATCAACTCTGAGATGCAGGTACATCCAGCTGACGAGTCCCAAACAGGACGAAACGCGCGTCCTGGATTTCACTGCTAGCCACTATCCATCTTTGCTTATAATCAAAACATCGTTATCTTTCCTTTAATATTCAAATTTTTATTACAATACATGTTGCCTTCATGTTTGTAGTCTTTATATTTTCAAGGTCATGAATGTTTCCATTTATATCATTTCTAAACTGAATTCTATTACTGAATGAAAGAAAAATTTGGGGATTAAAAAGATGAGATAAGTGAAAAACTATTGATTAATACGTTGGTAGAGGTAAATTATCAATCTAAATTAAAGTTGTTTCAATGTAACTTGTAAAAAAATTATCGGATATCTACAGTTTTGTTTTCAAAAGTCTATTTATATTTCTGAGCAAAGATGAATAGTGGCTAGCAGTAGAATCAAAGATGCGCGTTTCGTCTTAGTTGGGACTCATCGGCTGGATGCACCTGTGTCTCAGAGTTGATGTTCACTCAGGGACTCTGGAATGTAGATACATTCAGACGACGAGTCTTAAATAGGACGAAACGCGTATATTGGATTCCATTGCTTGCCACATTCCATCTATTCTATTTCTTTTATCATAATGGTTATATCGAGGCAATCCGCTCAAGATGTACATATATCAACCAAGATTGATCAAATCTCAGTGAAAAATATTAACAACGGTATAATTCAAGCCACCTCAAATTGAGTTAATAATCCACTGTTTTTACGTAGATCACATTTAATGCGTTAGCATAGTCTATACTTCCTAACAATAAAATGAATACTAACCACCACTGTGTTGGAGAATGCTGATATATGACCTATGCTCCGCTGGGAGTAACAGGCGTAAGTAAGTAAGTAAGTAACCACTTGATATCTAATTGCAAAGTTAAATCCTAACCCGGTATTCCTTTCTTTCTACAAACTATCTGTTTATAACAGCTATTTTCTGATTGGCTAGTAACCGCCTAACATTCATTGTGATGATCCTAAAGTCATCCATTATAATATACACTTACCTTATATAGTCGTTGAAATAAGAAACGGGTTACATAAAAGTTTCTTGTTGTTTTTTTCTCTTCATTTTCACTTACAGAACTACTTCACAATATCCTATCGTAAAGAAGGTGTTCGTCAATATGATCTACGTGCTGATACTGAAGAAGAATGTTTCATGTGGGTTGATGCAATCAATGGTGCCAGGTAATTAATAGTTATTATGAATTATAGGTTATTTGAGTATAATGAAAATTATAAATTATGTAATCAAAGATTTCTTTCTCTAAGTAACTTTTACAAGTTAGGTAATTAGAAGTGGAAGGCAGGATACTCTAAATGATATGAGTTTTGTACTGTCTATCACTTGTCAACAAGGTATATCTGGAACATTTTAAGAGAAAGATGTTTGCTGTAGGATTTGAAGCCGACTAACTCATTTTCACAGTCTAAGACATTATCAGTAGAAACGACTGGAAAAACATGAAATCTGTCTGTCCTGTAAATATTGGTTTAGAAAAAGTGAAACCTGGAAACATACAATAGAGTAAATAGGATTTAGTAGATAACTTCAACAGTTAACTTTTGATACATCTCTCACTTAAATACTTATTCACTGACTTGCTAAACTGCTCTATAGTTCCTAAAAATCTCCCACTTTTGGATCTCGAATAAGTAACTGAACGTAGAAAGTATAGAAGAAGCTTTAGTTCTAAGGTTCCTTTATGAACAGAAAATAAGAGTATTGATATGATTGTATATAACCTATCCGTGTTAAAACTGGTTTTAAAATGTCGAAAGTTTATCGCTAAAGATAATGAAAACATAATTCAGGTGCTTTCTACTCCGGTCATGATACAAATGTGATAAAGAATATAACAGTTTTTGCTGGATACTTCAATATCAGAATATCGCATCTCCTTTCCCATTCATACTCTGTTTATTCCAAAAGCTCAACAGTGTTGTAGTTGACCTTGAGGACACAGACTAGTTCGTCAAGAATGATCAAGACTCTTTAAGGTAACAGCATACATATCAAAACATTATGTCATCTATCGAACATAGATGGTTAGTTCGAATGACAAGAAAGTCATTAGGCAGTTAAAATTAAAACTTAAGCTTAGGATTAGTTTACACACAGAATAATTACAAAATTTAACCCCAATCTTTAACACTAAACAAAATTCTAAAATTCTTAATAGTAATTTGAAGTTTTGACCTTAAATTCTAATCTTAGATGTTAAATTCGTTCATAATTGACCGAATAAGAGATTTAGCTTGTTAAGACCGTTTAAAAAGTCACTTAACCTCACTTTTCAAATTTGATTATAATAAATCGTTAAAATTGATTTACGGATCCCTGAAATCTCCCAAGTTTGGGGAAATTTTTGCGGCTTCCTCAAAATGGGTCAAATTTTCCTCAAAATTTGGAGATCGAAATACCTAGTTTACAGGTATTGATTATCACAGTGAATTAATAAAATTTGTTAAGGATGTTAGATCCTCAGAACTCACTTGGAAAAGGTCCTAATTTTGTAAGTTTATTCTGGAAATTTGAATTTTATGTTTTCGCGCCAAGAGTCGCTTAGTTGACCTACAGCTTATATTTCCCACTTGGAAATCCTTGACTGTTATTGGTTGGCGGATTTTTCTTAGTATGCTATTTTATGGCTCTCCCAAGGGTGTTTCTATCATTGTATAAATAAAGTTGGTTTGTGTGCTTAGCGACCTCGTGTTTTCTGAGTGTTTGTTGTTATAACTTGTGACTTGTGTGCCCTGTTAATGTATACGTAATGATACCGCCAATTAGGGAGCAGTGAATTATCGATCGAACCAGTGACGCATAAAACCTGTACGAGCAGTCTAGAGTCCTTATCGATCCCGCTTCCTGTCTAACTTCAACCAATCCACGGAGCCGGGTCAGTGGTCTAATGGTTAAATGCTCGCGCGCGAAGTTAGTAGGTCCTGGGTTCGAATCTCGCGGGGAGGGGGACCGTGGATGCGCACTGCTGAGGAGTCCCATACTAGGACGAAACGATCGTCCAGTGCTTCCAGGTTTCCAACGGTGGTCTAACATCAATTGATTCATGATCTCAATCAAAAACTTAACAATCTCCACAATCCCTATACTGATAATCACCACTTTTTATCAAAAGTATTATCAATTCCGCCTAGTATCTTACATCTAAATTTAATTAACATAATAGACTGATCTTGATTAAACAATCATTGAAGACCAGGAATTACTGGACAGTTGTTTAATCTTAGTGTGGTGTGGGTTACTTATATCCACACAAGTAGTATATGACGGTGGTCAGGCATAGGATGTATTTTAATAGAAGGTTGATGAGAAAAAAACGGGAACGGAACGCAATTGGCATGAAAACTCATGAACAATGAAATCCGAGACAATGGATTGATTAGATGGTGGTTGGAGGTAGTCGACAGGAAACCCTGGACCCAGGTTTCGTACTACTTGGCACTCGTCAACAAGGTGTACCTGTAATCCCTAAGGGAACTGGTGCTCCCTGGCGGATTTGATCCCGTGTCACCCGGCTTCACAGTCAGAGACGTTACCACTGGGCTGTCCGGGCTGCGACCGACCTCCTGTGGGACTGAGATGTAATCACAATTGATTGATTAATGTCATGTGTGTCAAGTCTTTATTTAGTGCAGATCGAATGCTAGACTGGTGGCCACATTGCAACATGGTCGATAGCATTCGATCTGCACTAAATGAGGATTTGACACACATGACATAGATCACCACCCAGTGACCAATCGATTGTGACAATGGATTGATGTTTGCAACAGGAACAGTCAAGTTTGATATGATGGATTGATATTTGGAAAATTAAATATTTACTATATGGTTCTCAGATTTTATTGAGATACTCTGTAATTTTGTGCTCTAATACATTCAATTATTCCACTGGTGTTTTTATTCACTACATTAGTATGAGGTTACCTCACCAATGTCCATTGACAACTTGACCATAGATCAAACTCTGGATCTTCAAGTTTCTCGATAAACGTTTAACTTCTAAACTATTTCCCAAACAACCAACGACATGCATGTCTAATTCTAGTTAATCTAAGACTTTTTTCAACCACCTTCCAATGATTGTTTGATTCAGATCAAACTGTATCTTAAATTATAAAAGTCAATAATCACTATAAACTATCTATGGTAATCATATTTCTCAATTATCTATATGTGTTCATTAAAAGAAAACACAATGTTATCGTATAATGTCAATTCATTTGTTAGTAAACAGTGTTTTATAAGCAAATAAACTTAATGACTTGAACAATAATGTCTTAAAGTTGTTGAAGTTATTGAAGCAGTAGAAGAAGAAGAGGAAGAAGAAGAGGAAAAATAAAACATCAAGTGTTTGCTTAACTATATTCTTTGTGTTCTGAATATGCTATGAAATAATTTTTGTTGAAGGGATCTTTTGAAGATCGATTTAATCTGCATATATATTGATTAAAGTTGAGGTAACAATAAATAAAGAATTAGAGGGATATTTAGAATTGTTTTGTTCTAATATGGGACTCTTCAATAATGAACCATCCTCAACAGTTCCAACCCAGAATCTATGATCTGCTGATAAGTCAAATTTCTGGATTTGATTTCGGATGAATTTATGAGTAAACATTACCATGAATTCATAAACTAAGATGAAAATACTGTCAAATTCTATCTAGGTTTATGTATAGTACTCTAACTGAGATTGATCCAATGGTCAAAATAATTATTTCAAAAAGTGTCTCTTGAAACTACGGATACAGTAACATAATAATAATAAAAACAATAATAATGATATGAGAAGGGGTTTTGTGGAGATTGTAGTAATTTCAATAGTTGAATTTATGAGTCACTGGAAGGTAGACCACCATGGGAAACATGGAAGCAATGGATGGTCGTTTCGTTCTACTGTGGGAGTCCTCAGTAGTACGTATACACGATCCCACCTGGCGAGATTCCAACCCAGGACCTATCGATCTCGCGCACGAGAACGCATAACCTATAAACCACTGAGTTTGCATCCAACGGTGCTAATCTCTAACTTCAACTAGTCCATGAAATTGAACGACACATCCACCATTGTCATCAGTGAGTTAATATCTCACAATAGACCCAGTTGAACTCCATTGGTCACTGTTTCTTACTAAAACTCTAAGAAATACCTCTTGAAGCCGGTCACTAGTGAGCATATGTTGATTAGTATTAGAAGGGTCTTTTTGGATATTATAGTAATTTCAATAGTTGAGATCATGAATCAATTGAAGCTAGACAACCATGGAAAACCTGAAAGCATTAGATGGCCATCTGATTCTAGTATAGAACTCCTCATCATCGCTCATCCACAATCTCTCCTAGTAGGATTCGAACCCAGGGTCTATCAGTCTTGCTTTCGAGCGCTTAACCACTAGATCACTTAACCAATGCACTATTGAGGAGTCCCATGTTACGACGAAACAGCCGTCTAGTTCTTCCAGGTTTCCCTATGGTGGTCTAGCTTCAATCGATTCGTGATTTCAACTATTGAAATAATAACAATAATGAGAATAACTGAGAAAAATAGAATCACATTAATAATAATAATAATAATAATAATAATAATAATAATAATAATAATAATAATAATAATAATAGTAAAAAATACTAAGACAATTTAACATACATAGATTGTCTAAATTATGTCATTATTAAGAGAGCAAGAAAAAGAATAAAAGAATTAAGTAGTCACGCAAAAAATGTATGTCAGTAGTATGGATTACCTTTATTAGGGTAAAATAAATCAATTTAATTCCCAATAAATGAGGGTGTATAGATATATAATTCATCACCTATTAGCAACTAACCGCTGACAAAAAACAAAACTTATTCTCATTTTAATCAAATGAATAAGAACCATATTATATAATTAGTTTCTATGATTAAGAAAAGGAAGGAAATAGATTTGAATCTGTTATAGAATTATTTATGATTTAAATTCCATGTATAAATAATAATAATAATAATAATAATAATAATAATAATAATAATAATAATAGTTGATTTCATTATAGACAATCAATTACAACTTATATTGAGAACATGTTTTGATTAATTAGATAATTTCCCTAGGGGGATTCAGAGGGGTGGTGATGGTGAGTGGTGGGTGGTGGTGAGTGGTGGAAAAGATTAGAATATTAAATAATACTATAATGAACGAGAATACACAAATAGTAGGGGAGGGGGAGGGCAATCGAATGTATTCGAACACAAAATGATAGATTTATTTAATAAAATCTGAGAATTATACAGTAAACGTCAATCAATCGTTTCAAACTTTATTGTTCGTTCGTTTTCACACTGATTATTCTCTGATCAAGCTTTGTTCTCTCTGATTTTCTCATCCTTTTGCTTCCAGATACTCCACTTTCGATTGATGATACATACTACTTTTATCTGTTGACATCAGTAGCACACACACTACAGTAGTAGTGTAAAAGTTATCAGTATAGAGGATTTGTAGTGATAGTTAAGTTTCATTTTAACTCATCAACATAGTGTTTTGCCAAGTGATTTCAGTCTAGCTACTGACACTGTAGTGAAAGAGAATATAAACAAGGACAATTGAATGTATTTCAATGCAGAATTACAGAACATCTTAGTAAAATTTGAAAAGCGTACAGTGAATACTTCATTTGCAAAATATCCATCAATTGTCTCAAACGTAACTGTTCCTTTTGCAAATATCAGTCAATCATCACAGACTTCATTGTTCCTGCACCTTCATACTAAGTGCTTTGTGTTCCCGTCCGTTTTTTTCTCGACCTTCTGCTGCCAGATAATCTAATTCTGACTATCGTTATATATTACTCATGTTGATATAAGTAGCACACACCACAATATTATTTAGACAAGAGTTAATGAAATGAATATTGAGTTCTCTGAACAAAAGTTTTGTAATATATATTATCAATATTGTTAACAGGTTTGAATTATTCCATAGTTAATATTCAAGATTGAATCTTTGATTAGTCGTGATATATTTCCTTTTCTAAGCGAACTGCATTGATTTAAACATTCTAACAGAAAAATGTTTCGAATAAAAGGAACGGGAGAATTGTTATAACTTGTGCCCTGTGTCCTATAAATGTGATGATACGTGATGATGCCACCAATTAGAGAACAATGAATTATCGTCTAGACTAATGACACATAAAACCTGTACGAGCAGTCTAGAGTCCTTATCTGTCCTCCTTCTCTCTTAGCCCTGCCTCTTAGTTAGAGTCTAGAACACCAATCTCAGCCTCTGTGATATGGATCATGTATTTCAAACATACTGGATTTATATACAAACCACAACAGACCACAACATACCATAAAATACGAAGTCACATTCGTACAATACCTAGACAAAAGTGAATATGAATGTGGGAGATAGTAATTAATAAGATTGGGTATAACACTCGAACGGTAAATCGTATAATAATAATAATCTATGGGTCAAAATAAAGCTAATAATAAGAGGAATATGAATATGCATAGTATAGTTACTTCACAATTATACAATAAAAATATATTTATCGCATTGATCCGATGATAGTTCCCAAAAGTCACCATTCATAATTCTCGACAAGAATATAACAGAATACATAGCTAACTGATAAGTTCTGAATAGGATGAAACATGAATCCCGGGTTCTATGGCTAACCAGAAATTCACTTGTTTTTAAATTTACCTTTGTTTAAATTGATTTAAATCAGAAACATAGAAATCGGTTATCTGATATTATTTAACATGAAGTTAAACTTCTCCAAACGTAACATACATAAATAATTGATGTATTGTATCAATCTCCATCGGATTAAATACCCCAAAACTTTTAAAGCTCATAATGTGACTACTTTTATAATATGTTCTTTCAACAGTTTCCTGTAATCGTTTATTTTTGAAGTTTGATCCTTACTGAAATAAGGTTCTAGTACTGGGTGGTTGATTTTCGAGCGAGATCGAAAAAAAAGGATACCAACTAACTCCATTTTCATTCAAGATGTTGACTTGGCACCTGGCAACCATTCATGATGTAGGGTGTGTTTCATGCTGTGTTATTTTTAGTTGACACACATAAAAAAATGTAGTTTTCTACAACGATATCATCACTACATCATACTATGGATGTGTCAAGTGAAGCTTAGTCAGTCATGATGAAAGAAAAATTACAATATGGCAAAAGACATGCCTCTAATCATTTCTATAATGAAAATTATACCAAAATATATTTACAATTGAGTGATTGAGTAAACGAATACATAATTGTAATTACTGACTACGATACATTTAGATGACTTGACGTTGTGAAGTTTATTACCCAATTGAATTAATGTATTTCAGAATAATAAACACTTATATATTTCACAAGTTGAAATCATGAGTCAGTTGAAGCTAGACCACCATTGAAAACCTGGAAGCACTGGACGGCCGTTTCGTCCTAGTATGGGACTCCTCAGCAGTGCGCATCCACGACCCCGCACCACCCGGGGCTCGAACCCAGGACCTACTGGCTTCGCGCGCGAGCACTTAACCATTAGACCACTGAGCCGGCAACCAACGGTGTTAATGTCTAACTTCAACCAATCCACGAAGTTGCGCTACCGTACACCATTGTCCTCAGTGAGTTCCTATCTCACAACAGACCTGGTTGAACTCCACTGGTAACGACTTCTCACTAGAACTCCAGAAGTGTCTCCTGAAGTCAGTCACTAGTGAGCAGGTGATTATTATTATCAGAATGGGTTTTTGTGGAGATTTTAGAAATTTCACAAGTTGAAATCATGAGTCAGTTGAAGCTAGACCACCATTGAAAACCTGGAAGCACTGGACGGCCGTTTCGTCCTAGTATGGGACTCCTCAGCAGTGCGCATCCACGACCCCGCACCACCCGGGGCTCGAACCCAGGACCTACTGGCTTCGCGCGCGAGCACTTAACCATTAGACCACTGAGCCGGCAACCAACGGTGTTAATGTCTAACTTCAACCAATCCACGAAGTTGCGCTACCGTACACCATTGTCCTCAGTGAGTTCCTATCTCACAACAGACCTGGTTGAACTCCACTGGTAACGACTTCTCACTAGAACTCCAGAAGTGTCTCCTGAAGTCAGTCACTAGTGAGCAGGTGATTATTATTATC